GGTGTCATAAAATTTTTTTAAAATATAAATATTTTTTTAAAAAATTATATAAATATTTTTTTAAAAAATTATATAAATATTTTTTTAAAAAATTATATAAATATTTTTTTAAAAAATTATATAAATTTTTTAAAATTTTATTAACTTTTTTTGTGGAATCATTTATTTTATCTTCGCTTTTTTCTTTCAATTTTCTTCCTGGACTTCCATTTTATTTAGAGATTGATATCATTAGTGTAGTTAATAATATTTTATTATGTGAATTTTTTAATATGCTATGGTGAATTTTTTAATATGCTATGTTAATGATAATGCACAACACGTTGGTCCTCAATTTGTATGATGCTAGAACGATTACTAAGTTTGAAAGATTTCTGTAATGATTTTATTATAGGATATGAAGTCATTTTGTTGAAAGATGATTGGTGCCAATTAAAGGACCTTACTAATGTTCGTTCCTTTTGACAATATTAAGATTACAATCAAAACAATTATGTTTATTTGGTTTTTATGGCATATGGATTAGATGCGGATCAGATTTAGAAAAATTTACAGTCCTTTTTACACGAAATATTAGAAAACATGAAAATTCGAAAGCAAAGAATATTTGCAAAATAGTGTTGTATACGTTTTTATATATTTAGACCCTCGATATAAAGTTTTATTGAGTATTGAGCAAAAACAAACGGCTAAATACCATCTTAAGGATTTATGGCATCAAAACTCCATTGACAATATATTGGAGGCTACGACAATATCTACTGGTTGTAGTGATAATAATAATAATGATAGAAACATTGATGATCTTGAAATTTAAATTTTAGATAGAGAAAAAAAAATTATATTAAAATGCCTATTGCATCTTTAATAGTAAAGTTCTCAAAAGTTAAGAGAATAGATAAGGATATAAATATTTTAAAATTCTGGGGAAAATTCTGCAATATATCCAGAATTATATATCTTATCTAGAATCTTCATGGCTGTACCGCCGACGCAGGTACAATAATCTTATAAAGATAAATATCTATTTTAGATAAGGGTAGAACGTGAATTTTCATCTTTGAAATATATATTGTCTATACGTGGAAATCACAAGGATGATATTTTAGAAGATATTATGATTGTACGATTGAATCATAAATATAAATTATTTCATTTTTAAATTTTTCATTTGTAAATTATGAATATGTATATATTGAAGTATAATAATAAATAAATGAAAAAAAATCTTATTTTGAGTCATTGTTTTTATGTTCCTTGAACCCGGACCCGAACCATGGACCCGGGTCCTTTTCAAATTTTATTCTTGTACCCGAACCCGGACCTGGACCTTTTTTTTTGTCGAAGGGTTCACATCCCTGTTTATAATAAAAAACAACATTCCCTTTAACAAAATAGAAAGTCCATATTTCAGAGATACCTTCTCCTTTATATATAAAAAGAAGATATGGTGTCGACAAACGGATGCCAGCTATGTAAATAATTTATATCAAAAATCTAGAAATATACGCATTAAAGACCGTAAACAGGTAAATAGCAAAATCAGACATTTGGACGGGGTTAATTCCCTATCTTATTAAAATTGACAATACATTACATTGATAAAGATTGGAAATTTGTAAATAACCTTCTTGATCCCATAGAATTACCTCATCCACATACGGATGAGGAAATGTCAAATAACCTATTATCATCTATTGAATCTTTTGGGATTCTAGATAAAATAAGGTCGATAACAATTGATAATGCCAAAAATTTCTTATCATCTGTGTCCATTAGGAAAATAAGGTTATTGCTTATATGGCCATATTAGTTTGGCACATATATTAAACATAATTATGAGCGCGGGAATAAATATTTGAGTAAAAAATTAAACAAAATGAATAAAATTTTAAAAAATTACATAAGTCTTTTAAATTTATGAAGGAATACATGGATTTACTAAGTGGGACTCGTATATCACTATATGTAATTACAAGATATTCCAAATTCATAATGATTTCCACAAACAAAGTAATAAATAACCCCATTCTTTATACTATTTTTTATTTAAAGAATATTGATGCGATAAATAATTAAGGCAAAAAGGAAGCCTTCTTGATAATCAAATTTTTATAAATAATAATTAAAAAAATTTTTGAAATCATTTTATAAAATTACCCAAAAAATTTATTCAGATACAAATACTACAATTGGTCCGCAGTTTTATTTATAGATGAAAAAAAACATTAAAAGAAATTAATGAAAATCATGACAAATTGAAAAATGCTGGTAGTATAATGTTAAAAATCAAAAATATATATGGAATGGAACACATTAATTCTCTTTCAAACTATACATTGTTAAACTTAAGACAAAGAAAATGTTTTTGCCAAAATTTATAAATAATGTTGATTTTTTTAAAATTTCCAAACGTTATATACGAAATATAACAGTACAACGTCCGGGTCCTCTATACAATAGACTAAGCCTTACATTATTTATTGCATATGGTTATATAATTATATATTTGTCTTTATTATTTAGGGATGTTTATGAGTTTCTAGATCCTGTAACCGATGAAAAGATATATATTTAAAAGAGGAAGCAGCTAGCCCGACAATCAATATAATCGAATGGTGGCTTATAAACAGCACAATATATCCAAATTTATTTAATGGCCAGAGACTTTTTGGCCAAACAAACTACAAGAGTTGCAAGGGAAAGAACTTTTAGCAAAGCGATGGAATGTATGACTAAATAACGAGACAGTCTTTCATCCATCACCTTGAAGCAATGTTTATCCATGATTAATGTGACATCGAACTTTTAAAATATTATATTAGCATTTATTAAATCTATATATTTTATTTCTCTCTATATTTTTTTCTATGGTAAACGCGCATTTTAAATAATAATATATTATACGGTTGGCTTACAAGCATTTTTCAAATTGAACAATAAAATTATATTTCTTATATAAAATTTTTGATTGTTAATTATTTCAAAATATTTTTTGTTTCTAGGTGCACAAGATATAATATATGTTTATAAAAGATATATTTATCAATATGTTTTAAATTTAACAGTGAGAATAAATGGTTTTAAATGCCCTAGAGTTCAGCAGATCCATGTCTTCTCTTCTATCAAATACTGAATTGAAAATAAAATTGCAAGATCCAAAAGTAATAAATATCTGATTAATACCACAATGTTTTGACAGTGCGCAAAAAGAGTATTAAATTTTTTTTTATTTAATTTGTAATGTAAAAAAATAATAGTATTAGGAATATATTAATAAATCCAAAAGTTTTATTATTTTTTTTAAATACCAAAAAAGCTTAAATGGCACAAAAGAAGATATTTAAAAATTTCCATTTTCCCTTTGGAGTAAAAAAATAATGGCAGATGGTTTCATGGTAGGGGTGCTTTTGATCTTAAGGCACTTCATCGTATTTTTCGTCCAACTCGTCCAATTCGTTCAAAATGGAGATTAACAAGTTTGAAGTGATAAAAATGTTATTAATTCATTTAGAATGGTAAAAATTAATTTTTAATGTATTATTTATTATATTTAACAGGTTTGGAATGGTAAAAATGTTATTGAATTATTTGGAAAGGTAAAAATGTTATTAATTTATTTGGAATGGTAAAAATTTAATTTTTAATGTATTATTTATTATATTTAACAGGTTTGGAATGGTAAAAATGTTATTGATTCATTTGGAAAGGTAAAAATGTTATTAATTCATTTGGATTAGTAAAAATTTAATTTTTAATGTATTATTTATTATATTTAACAGGTTTGGATTGGTAAAAATGTTATTGAATTATTTGGAAAGGTAAAAATGTTATTAATTTATTTGGAATGGTAAAAATTTAATTTTTAATGTATTATTTATTATATTTAACAGGTTTGGAATGGTAAAAATGTTATTGATTCATTTGGAATGGTAAAAATTTAATTTTTAATGTATTATTTATTATATTTAACAGGTTTGGAATGGTAAAAATGTTATTGATTCATTTGGAAAGGTAAAAATGATATTAATTCATTTGGAATGGTAAAAATGTAATTTTAAATGTATTTATTTATGTTATTATAGGATTCAATTTCTACAGCAAATTAAGAAGCATTTTATTATTCTAATATAGATTATTTATAATGTATAAGACAAATATTTATTATTTATAATGTATAAGACAAATATTTATTATTTAAAATGTATAATAAAACAAAGAAATATGATTAAAATAAATATAAATTATTCAACATGTATAAAACAAATATAAATTAAATAATATCAAATACATTTGAATTTTATACTAATTTAATATAAGCTGATGATTGATCAACAATTCCAATTTATTAATAATATGATTATTATATTGTGTAGTCAGCTTTTCCAAATTTCTTTCTTTTAGGATATATTTGGAATTTGTTTTTTTAGAGTCATTCCTATGAGGTAATATAATGCCTAATAATTAAATGATTATAAAATTTGATAATTTGTTAAACTTGATATAACATTAAGGGTTGCATGTTAGGTGTTACTAGGGGTTGAGATTGAGCAAACATATTACCTAAAGTAATGAATATAAAAAGATAATAATTGATGATGCTAGTTGAAGTTGGTTGAGAGTTTGTATCAAAGAACTGAGACTGAGTAAACATATTGCCTAAAAAAAATTGATTAAAGAAATTTTATTTTGTGAAACTTGATATGGTATTAGCAGACTGCATGTTGGGCGTTGCTAGAATTTGAGATTGAGTTAGCTGATAGTCTAAAACTATATAGATTTTAAAAATCTAATATTTTAAGAAACTTGATAATGAAGGTTGTATAGTTTGTTGAGATAATTGGAATTGAGTTATTGGTTGACTATCAGACATAAGTAGAAGGTTGTTGACTAAATAATAGGTGTTATAGTGAATTATCTATAAAAAAAACTTACCAATAGGGGATTTTCATTGTTCTAAGGTATGATCTTGAATTTCTGTGAACTTACTGATTGGAAAATACTCCGTCCAGAACAACTTCTTTTTCTACATCGGTAATATGATTTGGAATTAATTACTCTATGCATTGTATTTACCAAATCAAAACATAGAATATCATGTCCTCTTTTGGATTTTTTATTAGTAATTTTGTTTTCTAAAATGATATTACTAAATTGATTATATCTAGATTGTTAACTTTGAATTATATTGGGATTAATTCTTTTCTCAGGAAGAATTTTGATGTTGTTTGATACCGTTTTAATTTCCATTAAAATGATTATAAATAAAAATATTTTTAAACTATTACTTTTCCACCACTTTAATGAACCAATCACAGAATTGGACGAAACTTTACGATGAAGTGTCCATACGATCATAGGCACGGAAATCGGTTTCATAATAGGTTCCTTTTTCAAAAAAAAAATATATTTATTAAAAATTCCTATCATAATATTAAAACAGTATAAAAATAAAGTACAAAATATGTTTTTAAAAAGCAATAATTTTATCAAAGGAATGTTTAATTTATTGACGAATATATAAAAATTCTAATAAAATGCCGAAATTTGCTACCAAGATTTTTTAAAAGCATAAAGGTTAATGGCAAAATATCTGCAATATGAATAAAAAGAAAGTTGTTGAAATATTTGAATATATTAATGTTGAGGTTTGATGAAAATGAAGAGAGGCACGTGTAATCCCATATTAATGATTTGCCGAACCTAGGGTATAGCTGTCGTACCAACAATTCTTAAGCCATATACGTGAGATAAATTTACCTGCTCAAGGTAGTTCGGAATGTGGGCGTCTGTTAAACTTCGATTAATTACATGATTTATTGCTGTGTCAAGCTATTATCCTCCTAGGCTGTATACACAATTAATACCATACCTAATGTTATTAAAAAGCCCGATTTGGGTCTAATAAATGGCCCGATTAAGATTTTGCCATAATAATATTGTGTAAACCTCAAGATTTGGCAAATAGAAATCCAACCCTTTCTGCCATCATGAGCAAAATAACAGGCTTACAAAAAAATATTTCGGTTATCATTTTAATAGTGCCATTTTTAACAAAATCGACCCGATTCGGACTAGCCATAACTAACCTTTGAATACTGGTGATTTCCAGATTCATAACCTAGACAAAAATCTGTTAAAGGTTGTTTTTTTGGGTTCAAACTTTTCTCAGTTTGTGGCCAAGCTGTTCTGATCCAACAATTTACAACATTGGCTTATCAGTCTAATCATCAATCAATCATTTCAGTTCGGCATCCTCATAGATTTTATAAATGATTAATTCTAAAAATTTGCTATTTTTAATATTTTTTTATGCCCTTACAATAAAATTACATAATTTATCATTAAATGGAGTAAAAGAATTGAATAGAAATAATTGGAGAGAAATTTTAAATGGACAATGGATGATTAAAATGTAATTTATGATTAAATTTATTTATTTTATAAAATTATAGCTTTGCTCCTTGGTGTCCAGCCTGTAGAGCCTTGGATACTCCCTGGAGAGAATTCGCTCAATTTGGAACGCATTTAGATATAACTGTTGCTGAAATTGATATAACAAAATATCCAGGTTTAAAAATAATAATTGGTTTGTATAATATATATATAGAATTAAGTGGAAGATTTTTAGTTACAACTCTTCCTACAATATTGCAGTAATTAGACATTAATTAAATAAATATAAATTTGTAGTGTAAAAGATGGGATATTTAGAGAAGTTAAAGGTCTTTATGATAAAGACAAGATTATATCTTTCGTCAAAGATATGCAATGGAAGAATATCTCCCCTCTCCCTTCATGGAAAAATCCTAATACTTATCAGTATGTCATATATATATTTTTCATTCTTACAATTAATTATAGCATGGCAGCTCTTGGAGAATTCTTTCGTATTTCTATGGCTATAAGGGTATTATTAATTTAATTCAAATTTATTTGTATATAATAATAGGATTTGCATAATTATTTAGTAGAAGACAGAGGCTTACCATATTGGTTATCTTATATTTTGTTTATTCTAATTACAATATTCATTGGAGGGATTATGGGAATTGTATATAATATTATATAAGTTATATGCTAATAAAATTAAATAGATTCTTGTATTTTTTGCTGATTATTTTACCTCAAAACCTCAAAAACCCTTAAAATATTCAAAGCTTAAAAAAATTAATGAACAAAAAAAAGAGGAAGATATATTAGCTCCAGATTTGATCAATCTAATAGATAGTAATGAAGTTAATGAATTGGCAAATAAGGTATTTATACTTGAGTATTATAATTTTTTACATTATTTATATAAGATCATTGAAGAAATGGCCAGCATTCCTAAAAATATTATACATGATTCTACAAATGAACCACATATTTATAAACGTAAATAATTTTTCTATTAACTATACCATATAAATATGTTGTTTTTTATATAAAAATATAATTTATTTGTATAAATGATATTTAATATATTTTAAAATAATCTGTATGCTAATGACATATTGTTATATTGAATATTTATAAATAAAATATTTAATATGTTAAGCTTGACATTTGACTTAAATAGGACTACTCTGGAAACTAAAAATCCTCTATTTAAACATAATTTATAAAAAATGATATGTATTGCTATTATGATTTAGAAATTTTTTTTTTTTATTTTAAAAAAAAACTGGAATTAGTAAATAAAACATATTTTCTCCATAATAAATCCTAGCTAAGTATGGACTATTATTAAAAAAATTAAAGTTTATCTTCAATGTTATTCAGAAAATGTAAAAATATTTTTATGATATTAAAATAACACTATATTTTGACTAAACTAAATCCATTTTTAAAAAGCCTCAAATTTAAAAAAAATATAATATAGAATCATAAAACTCTTTAAGAGGATTCAGAAATGTTAATATTAATATTTTTTTAAAAAATTTAGATTTTGAAAAGATTAATTTTGTTTTCACTTAAGGCTGTGTCCAAAATATCAAAAAAATTTAATCGCGCAATTTGCGCAAATCTAGCGGAAAAAAAAAATAAGCCATTTTTAATGGAAAATTAAAATTTTGGCCTAAATCATTTTTTATTTTTTTTTTCGCTAGATTTGCGCAAATTGCGCGATTAAATTTTTTTGATACTTTGGACACAGCCTAACTAAAAATCTAAGTCTCATATTTTTTTAAAATAAACTTCAAGAGGATTCAGAAATTATATATTTTTTATCAAAAATATTAATTTTTTATCAAAAATATTAATTTTTTTGACTAAACTAAGAATCTTTTATTGAAAAGGCTCAAATTTATAAAAATAAATATAGATTTATGTATAACTCTTCAAGACATTCCAGAGAATGTTAATATTCCTATTTTTTTTACTTAAATAAGAATCACTAATTTTGAATCTCTAACTTTGACTAAACTTTAAATTAATTCGTTTGCCTAATAATTTTATTACTCTTTTTAAGAATAATATCAAATTTTTAAAATATTTTTATTCATCCCTAATAATTTTTTCACATTAATATCGATTTTTAAAATTCAGATCTATTTCTAAAATAAATTTTTTTAAATACTTGGGTTAGATCAATCAGAAATTTATAACCTAAAATATCCCCAGGTAAGAGAATTTTTTTTATTTAAGCAATTTTTTATGTCTGTCAGCCTCTCTTTTCATTATTTTATATTAAATCATATAATTATTTTATTTATGTCCCACGAAATGTTGCATGCTTAAATTTTCTCTCATACTTTATTTCTCTATCCTTTTATTACCTTGTTATAGATATCAGAGATCAACATGTCCCAGCCCGAAACCTTGAAATTTCGGGTGGGGCAACTCATGCAAAATTGGAATTAAATTTTTTAAACTTATGACTAAAAAAATGTATCTTTTTCTATCATAAGAAATGATTGCTAGCTGGGTGATGCGAAAGAATATACGCCCATAATTTTTTTCCCACCCTTGTACATTTTTTTAGTAGGTTTTTAAGTTTCAAGATCATTTTTATAATTAATTTTATTACATGGCATGAAAACAGAGGACAAGAAAAGATCCCAAATTTAAATAGATTTCCGATCTATCTAATCGATAATTTTCTTACTAATCCTTAATTAGCCATTTAACAAGAACAACATAAATACTTTTTTTTGCCATAAACTAATATTTTTTTGCTCAAATTTTACTTTTGACACTTAGTGTAAATTTTGGAATTCTATTTCCACCTGAGACACTGTTGGTCAAAAATTTAATCAGGGTCAAGAACCGTACCTATTTTTAAAACTCGTCTAGCATAAATCTATACCTTCATGAATATGATCATTTTTTAATTAAAAACGTGTAGGGTTTACAGATTATGGCTCCTGAGCCTGACCTTTATTAAATGTCAAAACATACTACTTTTATTATTAAAAAAATAATTAATATATCTATCGATATTTCGTTCAAATCATTGATTTTTCGAAAATATTTCTGTGCATTTAAAACTTTACTTTCGCATTTCTTGGATAAACTTAATATGTTAAGGTAAGTCAGTTTATACTTATTTCCTACCAAGAAATGATTTTCATAATTTAGGTTTTTTTATAATTTACTTACACATTTCTTAACCGAACATTTTCGATATCACCTTAAAATGTTAAACATGGTTTAACTTTTATTTTTTATACACATGTATTAGCTAAGATTCGTAGTTTATTTAAAACAAGTGTTTTTTAATATTCCACTAAGCTGGAATTTATTTTTAAAATTAACATTTTCTATATCATCTCAATAAGCTAAACAAGATCGATTTCTATATTAATTTATTAAATTTGACCCATTTTAATAGGAGAGGCGTAGATTCTATATTAATTTTTTAAAATTTGGGCTCTTTTATTTGGGGTAGCATAGGGATGGTAGTTTATAAAAAAATTAATATTACCATTTTCTGAATCCCTTCGAAGACAACATGAGATTCTGCATTTATTTTACATAATTATCGAGGATGTGTAGAGCTTTGTATGGGATCCTTATTTTACATTAAAAGTGTTTATTCAATAGGGATAGAGAATGGGTGCGTAGTTTGATTCAAAAAAAGTGTTATTTCAAAAGCCCTTTTATGAAAATTTTTAAAATTAACATTTTCTGAATCCTTTTAAACAAAACATGATTCTGCGTTCATTTTTTTAAAAAAGGGCATAATCAACAAGAATGATATGACAGGCGGGTAGCCAGGAATTTTATATTCTACAGGGGGAGGGGGGGGGGGGTGATAATTATTTTAAAATTAAATTAGTTTTTTTGGAACATAAAATATTTATTCTAGCTAATCATATTTTAAAAAATGACAATTTCGAACACAAAATATTTAGGAGCAAATATAATATTTTTAAAAAATAATAGCTATGTAAACTGGTAAGTAAATCACAATAAATTTAGAATTAAATGGTATATGATTTAAAAAGTTAATCAAAATATCGGTCATAAATGGAAATTTTATCTTTGCGATGCCAATTTTCAAATAGTTCAATATTGGGGATTAAATCTATGTATATTAAGCAGAGCTAGTACTTTTAATCGATTTTATGATTTCGTACTTCTGAGTTAAGTTGTATCCGTAATGAAGAACCAAAAAGGAGTTAACTCCACCAGCTCCAAAATTTTGAAAAATATCGGCGCTCCAGCGTTTTTGAAAAACTGTAGCGGCACTCCAGGAGTTATATGAATGTTGTATTAGTTATGTTTTATTTAGTGTTTTTCTGTTTAACATAAATAATTTTAACAGATGTAATGCAAAGATTGTTTTTTCGTTGTCTGTGTAGACAGACATTATTTTTTTTGAAATGCTTTTAACTTTTGTGAAGCCAATAAAAGATATACAAGAGATTTTATTTTATAAATTATTTAAGTGCATCGCCATCTATATTTATTAAATTTTATGAATAAGTTGCGTTATAATAACCATTAGAATTGAAGTTACTATGGTTTTAAGATATAATAACTTAAAAAATGGCAATTCTTCCTTACTGGGAATAGCAAACTTCTCTAATCAATTACTGTCAGTTTTAATAAAAAATTAATTATTTTTTTCAGATTTTTATGTGTGATTTCATATTTTTTTTATATATAAAAGGTTCTCCCCAAATAACTCAAAATCCAATATGGATCAAACTCGCTACCCATTTATTGCTATTATCTTTATTTGAAAAATTATTATTTTGAATTTTTATAATTCCATATGTTAAAAAACTACCCTAGATAAACTTTTGTAATAAAAAATTACGGCTTAACTGATTCATCGAAAAAAAATACACTTTTGATTTTTATAGTTGATTTCATGGTTAAAACATTATTTCACAGCTTTTTATAAAAAATGACCATTAGATTGACTTAAAATCTAATATGGCCGCACAATTTACAGCCACCGATTACTGCCATTTTTAATCAAATTTTCTTCATTCGATTTTTATTGCTTTTTTAATATGCACACAATTGATTCAAACCCGAACTGTAAACTTGTCTACACTTATTGCGGTAGTTTGAATAAAAAAATATTTTTAACTGATTCCATGTGTATAACATTATCCTGGATAGCTATTTAAAACTATTAAGATGACAATTCAATTGACTTAAAACAAATATATAGAAATGAAATGATTCTAAATTCATATAATTTTTTTATATTTATATCTGTATATAATTAAATTCGGATTACAAGTGTGAACTTCAATGCAATTGAACATAGAATAATATATTAAAATTTTTCTTGATCGGCAAGCTTCTCTATCAGGAAATTTATCATACCGTTACAAATTACATCATCGTTATTCAAAACCAATCCCTATAAAATAAAACACATTAAATATTCTAACATCTTGATGCGTTAATATTTATTTATTTAATTTGTATCTCAAAAAATTGTAATAAATGATGGCCAAAAATATATGCCCAAGCTCTTTATTTGAAATGTGCTTAAAATATTAACAATTTGTGCAAAATGTTTTTTAAGCATGCATAAATGATAGGAGCTAGCAACAAAACTGACATAATATTAAATATGATATGCTAAACCAGAAGCCCCTATCCCAATGAAGCATGCGGTTACCTCTCCAACAATAGATCTAAAGTTTAATTGTATAAAAGCCCACTGAAAATTGTTTTTATTACACCACATATTAGAGATGCCTACCCGCCAATTGTTTTAAAAATATTTAATCAGCAAATCCGCCCATAATTTTTAATACATTCACCGCAATTTGTTTAAAAATTTTGTTCAACCAGCTCGCCCAATGTTTAAAAAATATTTGATTTGTTCGGCTCTTTATCTATTTTATTTTAATATATTTTTATATAAATATGCAATAAAAAAATTTAAAAATAAATATAAGCCCGTCTATTAATTTGCCCGAAAAATCCGAATGTTTTTTTAAAATATTCTTAACCCGCGATCCCTCCTAACAAAAGCGCGATTAGGTGTTTTTAATTTGATAATACTTATTTTAAAAAGATTTAGGCTTGAATGAATTTTTAAGGTGTTTTTTCGGGTTAATTTTTCCGGATTTATCCAAGGTTGAGCTTTATCTATTAGACTTAATAGTTTTAAGTCAAAATAGACTTCACCGTTTTTGGGGGCCATTAACCAACTATAAATTATTCATATGAATCACACCGTTAATAAGTACGATAGTTCTGATCAATGTAAATTACGTTATTTTTTAATTATATTTTTTAAAATTTAATATAAACTATGTTTGTTTAATTTTTTAATGCGTGCGTTCAGTTCGAGTTTCAATTATTAATAAAGACATAATTATATAACATAATAAATTATTCTATTCAATAGTTGATATTATTTTATCACCATGATTTAAACAGAAATGGTTAAGATCCTTGCTTATATATATATATATAAATGTAAGTAAAATAGTATTTATAAATATAAACAGGCCGAAAAAAAATATGATTATACTTTTCTTAAATTATGAGGTATATAAAATTTTATATATAATTACCTCCGTGAACATTTCGATTGCCTTATTTGTTTCGAATTTTAGAGAGTAAGCTAGCCCTAGCGCTGTATAAGTCGAACAAGATTTAGGATTTAATAATAAAGCTTTGTTAAAATATATGATAGAGTCTTCGTGTTTTCTAAAATTTAAATTGGTTTTGATATATATATTAATTTAATATGGCATGCTATGCTCTATACTAGGGGTGTACCGATACCACTTTTTGGAGGCCGATCCGATATCATATCTAATTTTGTATTCTGTAAAGATACCAATGGTTTTAATTTTTAATATATTTTTTATTAGTATAACATCTATAATTTTACTATACCATAACATGTCATTTAAATATATTATAATGATCAGGTTATAGTTTATATTCAATTCAATTGCAATTCTAAAAGTATATAAAATATTTTTATTGATAAATTACTTATTTATATAATAAATAATAACATTAATCTATTTACATAATTAGTAATAAACAAATATATTATGAAATTTGAAATTAATATTTAAAATTAATATATCGATTTCTTTTCAGAAATACCAAAATTTCCAATTTATCAGAGATCAGTCAGCGATGGGGACTGTCAATATCACTAGCATCACTAAAAACAGATTCTGAAGATTATTGAACACTTTTTAAACAGAATGAGAAAAAGGCAGAATGTTTATTAACTAATTATTACTATTAAAAAGATAAACATAAAAATGAATTTCGATTTTATTTATAAAAATAAATGGTTTTTTAGATGTAACTTTTTCTAAAAAATTTTTAATATTTTATTTTTGTTAAAAACGCTATTTTTTATCGGATCGGGAAATTTTATAAAACCGATATTTTAAAATGGGTGAAATATCGACCCGATTCGAAATAAAATATCGGTACATCCCTACTCTATACCATTCAATAAATGAATAAAAGCATATTAGTTTTTCTATTGATAAAATAGTGATTAAATTGGCAAAATCGGAACCATTTTATTGGAATTCGATATTGGTAATATGGGTTTGGGGTTTTCCTGTGGGATTTGATTTATCTATTTTGAACAAAATTATTGTTTCTAAGCAAACTTTTATTAAAATACAATGAATCATTTCTAATTTGGGCAAAAATTATGATCCCGACTCGAGAGATGCCAATGCCAAAATTATTTATAAAATTTTATTGATATTATTTGCTTTCAATTAATATAACGAGTTAATTTAATATTTAAGTAAGATTTATACAATATCGAAAAAAACTTTCATATGAAATATGTTAAATTAAAAAACATGATGGTCAAACTTAAGAAAAGAAATAATTTAGTAAGGGAACCGTTCTCCTTAATAAAAAGTTTTAAAAATATTGAATCCTCTGAATAAAAATATTTTAGAATCAGAATGGAAAATTCTAAAGAATCCACATTGTTAAAACCCATTTTATGTTAAATTTATTTTATTTTTATTATCACAAATAAGTATGTTATTACTTAAGCTTACGGGCTACGTGACCCAAGTTGGTATATAAAATTTCCCAATATGAGGACAACGTTTTTGGATACGCGTAAGCCTTTTGGACATATTTGAGAGCAGCGTGTAAATAATCCCAAGCTAAATTAATCCTAGACATTGTAATCAAAACATGATTTTAAAAATAAATTTTTTACGAAGTTACTAAATAATTTGGTATAGTAAATTGGCAATAATAATAAATTATAAAAAAACTATTACATATTCGATTTGTAAGCCACGACACCTAGTTCGTGTAAAACAACGGGGTCATCTAAGCACAATTTACTCGAGTGTAAAATAAAATCTAAAGCAATTTTATGGTTATTCATCGCCGAGTATTCAAGACCGACGTAAAGGTAAGGTAAATGGCAACTTTAAAAAAAATGTAGATCGATTGTTTAAGTTTGTACGTGTTTTTATGTAGCTTATTATACTTTTGTAGAAACTTCAGAGTGTGTAAATAAGTTGAAATGGCTTGATCTTGTTCCGATATAAGACTGTAAGAATGACCAAGCAATAACCAGGAAGGGGAAAAAAGTTTATCGTACGATAATGATTTGTTGAGGTAAAATCTTGCTAATTCAACTTTTTCGAGAAGCATGTAATAACAACTAATTGAATACCATGATAACTAATAAAAATTATAAATAAATATATTTTTTATAAAGAAAATGGAACTTACTGCAAGTGTCGGCAGAGATGATATTAATTCATGTGATAATTTAAAAAGTTCTGCGACAAATAAAAAATATATAATATAATTGTAAATGTACATTATCTATTTATAATATGTTTATTTATAGTTGCGAGATAATGTCTTTTTTTTCAATTATAAAAGAATATTTCAAACTAAAAATTTTAACCGCTTAAATGCAGGGTTGGAAAGCCGGTCAATTGCTGCCAAATACTCTAAAATGTTATATATTTAATATTTTTGATTAAATATATTAGTGCTGTTAAACGGCCCAATTCAGGTCGATTATTAAAAATGGCCGGATTAAGATTATAACCAAGATAATAATTGTAAGCCTGGAGATTTCGCTCATAGAAGAAAGTTTTAGACATCTACATATTATTTTGGCTATAATCTGAATCGAATTGTTTTTTAAAACCGACCCGAATCGGGCTTTTTAACAATAAATATCATATGATTATTATTTCTCAGGCGAAAAATTTTCTTAGGTAAAAAATTTTAAATTTTTTAAATATACTTAAACGATTAATATGTCATTTATGAGAATTTCGAGTGATAAATACACTTTGTTCCTTATAAAAAAAATGAGATGTTATCTTTAGAATAACAGATTATTCAATAGTGCCAATTTTTTCTCCATCAATAGATACTTTTTTTACAAATATGTTTGAAATAAAAAAATACCTAAATACAACTGCTCATAATGCTGCCTACTTATTAGATTTTCAATATCAAGGACAATGTCTCATGAATAGTGAATTCGAAGAAGTTTGTGATATGATAAAAGAACTAGCAAATTCTGTAAAGTGGTGATAGTCAAGCCATCTTAGGTGATATTATAAATTTTCGCTGTAAAAGCGGTATCTTTGATAAAGAAAATATTATATGGAATGCGGTAAAATCCATAACTTGCTGGTGGAAGAGACTTTGTCTATCTTGCCATTTAAGAGAAATAGCTAATATCTTATTAACCCTTTCAAGTTCAACTTCTTCTTCGAAGAAAAATTGATCCGTCTGGGGTAATATTTATACAAAGAACAGAAACCAATTAAAAACTTTGACTAAGGGGTTATGTTAATAAATTTTAATATATATATATATATGTAGTATATTTTGTTTTATGAATTTAATGTCAATCAAAATGTTATTGATTAAAAAAATATATTTTTAATTATATATTGATTTGATAAAAATCATCGCGGAAGGATAAAAAAAAATTGTTAAAATAGAACAATGGAACGAATTTTGTATTAAGATTATTAAAAAATTATGATATGAAAAATGGTAAATTATTTTTATAAGAATAAATTTATTGAAAATGAAATTTAATATAATTGAGAGTAAAAAGTTATAAATATTTTATTGGTACCGACTGACCAAGATTCGTGAACACTTATTAGGGAAAAATAAGAAAATTGAAAAAATAGTGAATATTTTGTGAAGAGAATTTTAGATATTATAAAAGAAAAAAATTTCTAGGACCGGGTTCCTCAAAATAATAATGGATTCCGAAAATATATAAAGGTAAGAAATTTTTTTTTATATTATAAATTACACAACGCAATAGTAGGATTTTTTAGATTAAAATTAGAAATATATAAGATAAAATTTTAAATTTTGGGTAATTAATGAAAAAATGGCTTTTTATTTTATTGATAATTATAATAAGCATAATATTAATAAAATGTCAAATTTTAAGAGTAATTTTAATAAAATATTTAATTCAAATTTTAATAAAGTGGATATGACTAATAATGTCATTACTGCATTAATTTTTTTTGTGTTTTATGTAATCTTAATTATAATGAAACAAATAATAAGGAAAATAAAAAGAAGATCTCTTAAAAATAGAGAAATTGATATAAAAAATACAAATACCGAAAATTTAATTCCTAAAGTTTTGGTGAAATCTCCAGATATTAATGAAGATATCAAAAATAGTTTACATTTAATTTTGTTAGAATTAAAAAATTTAAATGTTAAAAAAAAAATGTTGAAGAAAAAAATGATAATTTAATTTTCATCAAAATATTGACATATCGGAGGATATCAATAAATAATTAAATTCAATTGTGATTGAATTTAAAGAGAAAATTTCTGATGTTTTAAGTAAAAAACCAGAAGAAATTTTGAAAAATAATAAAACAGATAATACTTTGAGACAAAGTACCGAGGAATCTATAATTTTAAGTGAAATTAGAGAAATGAGAGAAAATATGAAAAATTTATCCAGAGAAGATCCCAACTTAAAAATCAAAAGTAATAATGTGATTGAAAGTTGTGAACTTTGTGAAAGAAGAGGACATATCGGCAAAAATTGTTATTCAAGAGACCGAAAAACTAATGAAAATTTGACTGCAAAACCAAGTGAAAAAAATGACATAGTGTGTCATCGATGTGGTTTTGTAGGACATATAAAAAGAAATTGTATGGTGAAAGAAGCCAATTTCAAAAGTGGATTTCCACAACGAACATCGGTAGTGATAAATCCAATGGTTCGAAATATACAAAATCCTCAGAGTATAAATGTGAATGAAATTAAAAATTACAATACAGACCATGATAGAATGTGTTTCAAATGTGAAGAAATGGGACACATTGCAATACATTGTATTCAAAGTGTGAGTGGGTTACAACGACTATATAATTTGAAAGAGAATCATATAAAAATAGAAAAATCATATTTAGAGAATAATAAATATTTTGATATATATAGTTTTATTAAAAAATTTGTGGATATATATAATAAAATTGATAATCATCATGGGAATGATGATTATACATTGAAATTTAACTTGAATAAAAAGAGTTTTAATGTAGGAAATTTTTATTGTCATTTTGATGAAATAAAAAATTTTAATAATCTGAATAAAAAGGATTATTGTAATCAAACAAGTGGGAAATATCCAGGAGAGATTTTTAATAAAAACATAAATGAGATTCATAGACCTTTAAATTCTGAGATGAATTTAGGTATGAATATTAATTGTATTGAAAAAGAGGTTAAAATAAATACAATTCAACTGATTAAATTGCCTAAAAATTTAATAACTGAGAGAGCAAAGGAACAGAGTTCATGTCCTCATATTAATTTAAAATTTGGTGGACAAATGGTTGAAATGTTATTTGATACCGGGGCAAGTATGTCAATCATGTCTTATGAAAATTTTTGTAAATATTGTCTTAATGATATTAATGGTGATTCAAATATAATGAATAAAATTTTAATGATTGAAAATGAAAGTAATCACAAATCAGTGTTCGTTTTTTTAGTGTCAATATAAAATTGTGTAAAGCATAATAAAAAGTTAATAAAAGTTTTAATAAAAATAACATCTGGGAAAGAGAAGAATATTTTAATTTAAGAATTAAATTGTTATCAATAAAATAAAAAAACATTGACTTTAATAAATTCATGTGAATAACACCATGTGGTATGGTATTAGAAAGTTCAATGAAATACAACTTTTGTGTAGATTAATTTTAAAAAAAAAATGTATTTTTTTTTAAATTTAAAGAGACATTGTTGTGAAACAATTAAAAAAATTTTTAATATTATGTTATAAAGAAAAAAACTCTTAAATAAAAGTCGGTGGACCATAAAGGATTTTAAACTTTGACCTAGTAAAGAATTATGTTAAATAAAAGAGTTTTAAAAAAGGATGGAATGTGATGTGATGAAATTGTTTATAGTTTTAATAGTTATAATTATAAATTAAAATTTTTTTTATATATCGGCATATCTTCATATTTTTTTTTGTAACAAAAAATATGATTATGGTGGAATTATATATATATATTATAGTTTAGTATTTTTGCTATATGACATGTCTTAATATTTTTTTTTGTGGTTCATATAATTTTCTTTATGGATATAACGAAAATATATATATGTAATTTTAATAGTGATAATTATAAAAAAAATCTTTTATCCCTTTATTTTGTTTGTGGTCAATTATTTGTTTTGTAATTGAACATTAAGAAAAATAAAATAATTGTAAAGGATTGTTGAATTCAAATTTATATGTATTATAAAACAAACAAAATATATTATTATAATCCGCATGTCGAAAGAAGACAATTAAGAATTAAAAGTCGATGATATTCAAAGATAAGATTCGATAAATGACGAGGAAATAATCAATGTCCTTAAAGAGCGATAATTATATTGTAACACGTGGCCTATGAAGGGTGGGCGTGTTGTAGTTTTGTATTATTATGATATATATTTGTACATATATATTATAGTCAATCAAAAAGAATATATTTTATTTAGTAGTTATTTTATGGAGAATTGATAATCAAACACTTGGTATTTTTTTGTTTACTTTTTGACTTTTGATAAATATATTATATGAGATAAATTTTTGATTATTCTTTTTTTATTGAAATGAAAAGAAAAACTTTTATGAGATGGAAATTATTTTAATTTGATATTAATAATTTATTAAATCGGGGATTTTATAAAATGAAGAATGAATTAATTGATTTTTTGAAATATATTGTGAAACGAAAATTATACTTGGAATATTTTTTATGGAATTATTGAAAAAAAATAAAGAGTATATTTAAAAGTATTATATTAGTGTATAAATATAAAAATGGTGCATTTAATAAAATATTTATAACTTTTAACTCTCAATTATATTAAATTTTATTTTCAATATATTTTATTCTTATAAAAATAATTTTCCATTTTTCATATCATAATTTTTTAATAATCAATTTCTCTATTTTTAAGAGATCTTCTTTTTATTTTCCTTATTATTTGTTTCATTATAATTAAGATTACATAAAACACAAAAAAAATTAATGCAGTAATGACATTATTAGTCATATCCACTTTATTAAAATTTGAATTAAATATTTTATTAAAATTACTCTTAAAATTTGACATTTTATTAATATTATGCTTATTATAATTATCATTAAAATAAAAAGCCATTTTTTCATTAATTACCCAAAATTTAAAATTTTATCTTATATATTTCTAATTTTAATCTAAAAAATCCTACTATTGCGTTGTGTAATTTATAAT